TGGGAAGTAGTCATTTTGGAGAGTCACACGGCAGATATGCTAGGAGATGTAAGATTGCAACTGTTGAGTCATTCTAGATTTGTGACCAAGAACTTAGTGAGTTTTGTCATTGCTGTTGGGTGCTTTTCTGTTTTGAATGTTCATTCAGCTGTTTAACTGTAGTGGACACAGGAATGGCTAGAGGGTTAAAATCACTGTGGAACTTGAAGTTTTCCGAAAGAAAAACTAGGGAGGACACTTTTTATAAGTATGAGAGTTTATATTAAAATATATCTTGGCCAGCGCCGCAGCTCAATAGGCTAATCCTCCGCCTAGCGGCGCCGGCACACCGGGTTCTAGTCCCGGTCGGGGCGCCGGATTCTGTCCCGGTTGCCCCTCTTCCAGGCCAGCTCTCTGCTGTGGCCAGGGAGTGCAGTGGAGGATGGCCCAGGTGCTTGGGCCCTGCACCCCATGGGAGACCAGAAGCACCTGGCTCCTGGCTCCTGCCATCGGCTCAGCGCGGTGCGCCGGCCGCGGCGGCCATTGGAGGGTGAACCAACGGCAAAGGAAGACCTTTCTCTCTGTCTCTCTCTCTCTCACTGTCCACTCTGCCTGTCAAAAAAAAAAAAAAAAAATTAAAAAAAAAATATATCTTGAGGGGCTGGCACCGTGGCTCACTTGGTTGATCCTCCGCCTGCGGCGCCAGCATCCCATATGGGCACCGGTTCTAGTCCTGGCTGCTCCTCTTCCAGTCCAGCTCCCTGCTGTGGCCCCAGAAGGCAGTGGAGGATGGCCCAGCTGCTTGGGCCCCTGTACCCACGTTGGAGACCAGGAGGAAACACCTGGCTCCTGGCTTTGGATCAGCGCAGCACTGGGCGTGGCGGCCATTTGGGGGGTGAACCAATGGAAGGAGGACCTTTTTCTTTTTCTCTCACTGTCTATAACTCTACCTCTCAAAAAAAATATATCTTGAATATGAAATCATTGGAGATTTGCATTTTTTAAATATGTTATTGTATACCAACCATTGCTATGTTGTCTTTCTGGTGCCTCTTTTCCCTGTGATGGCACTATCTCCTTTGCATCCAAACATCCTAAAATAGATGCATTTTTAAAAATTTCACCATTGTATCTGTTTAGCTACTATCTTTACTAATTCCCTTCTGTTGCTCCCCCATTCGCGGAGGAACGACACAGGACCCTGCGCTGTTCTTTCGTCTGCTCGGCCCTTCCCGGGTTTGCTGCTGGTCCTTCCCGGGTTGGCTGCCGACCCCTCCACCTCCGTGGAGGGGCGGCTCCCCCTGCCACTTCCCCACTTCCGCGGAGAAGCGGCACACCGCTGGCCGGCTCTCTCGGGGGCTGCTCAGGTGTTCCTTCAGATGTTCCCTGGTGGATGTTGTCTCTCTCCTCTTTTATAGTCCTCTTCCACCAATCCCAACTCTGCTACCCACACGCCGAGCACGCTGCTCTCCTCCAATCAGGAGCAGCTCCTGCAGTTTATTGGTCGAACTGGAGGCAGCTGCGCAGAAGCTGTTTACTCCTCTCCCAGCGCCATATTGTGGGAGAGAATATGCATAGAATAAGTCTTAATTCCAGTAACTTAGTCTAGTCCGAGTTGCTCCCCACACCTTCATACCCAGATATCTTCAGATAAGAATCTGTATTCAAGAAATATCATTTTCTTCCCTTCTTTTTGTTTATTCAAGTTTTTAAAAATTTTTATTTATTTGAACAAGATGGACAGAGTCAGAGACAGATTCCATCCACTGATTCACCCCCTAGATGTCTGATTGGGGCTGGGCCAGGCTGAAGGCAGGAGCCTGGAAACCCCATTTGGGCCTCCCATGTGGGTAGCAGGGGGGGCAAGTACTTGAGTCATCTTCTGCTACCTTCCCAGGATGCATATTAGAAGCTGGATCTAAAGCAGAGTGTCCCTGACTCAAAACCAGCACTCAGTGACTTGTTGGCTTAACCTGCTGTGTCAATGCTGGCCTTGTTTATTTAACAAATGTTTTATATCTATATATTTAAAAGACTTATTTGAAAGAGCAACAGGAAAGGTGGCGGAAGGTCTTTGTCCACTGATTCACTCCCCAAGTGTAGGCAGTGCAGAAGCCTGGAACTCTGGGTAGCAGGGGTCCAAGCACTAGGACCATCTTTCACTGTCTTCCCAGGAGCATTAGCAGGGAGCTGGGTCAGAAGTAGAGCAGCTGAGACTTGAACTTTGGCACTCTGATGTGGGAAGCTGGAGTAACCCACTGCGCCACAATGCTGACCCCTAATCTGTTTTAATCCGTTATCCAAGATGAATGAGAACCCAGGTTCTAGTCACCAGATCTTAATCTAATAGGACAGATGTGTTCTGAGATTATGCATATTTATTCAGTGTGCTCTGCTCTGGCTTTTTTCCCTTCATACATTTAAGCAGTCTTACTGAAGATAATCAGTGCTTGCCTAAAATGCTAAATTAGTCTTTATCATTCTTTGCTTTGATATCATCTCCAATTCTTCCTGTCCCTCTATTATTAATGACTGTTAGAATCTGTTATTATGTCTTTTTTTTTTTTTGGACAGGCAGAGTGGACAGAGAGAAAGGTCTTCCTTTGCCGTTGGTTCACCCTCCAATGGCCGTCGCGGCCGGCGCGCTGCGGCTGGCGCACCACGCTGATCCGATGGCAGGAGCCAGGAGCCAGGTGCTTATCCTGGTCTCCCATGGGGTGCAGGGCCCAAGCACTTGGGCCATCCTCCACTGCACTCCCTGGCCACAGCAAAGGGCTGGCCTGGAAGAGGGGCAACCGGGACAGAATCCGGCGCCCAGACCGGGACTAGAACCCGGTGTGCCGGCGCCGCTAGGCGGAGGATTAGCCTAGTGAGCCGCGGCGCCGGCTTGTTATTATGTCTTAAAAATGTACTGAGCACTATATAAACTTTCTCATTTAATTTTTGAATCAGTCCTGTGAGATTGTTATTACTGTAGTTGAGGAAAATTAAAGCAGTTCATGTGTTACTTTCCAGGCTGTGGCTGTGACCTGCTGTGCCACAGTGACAGCCCCTTAAAAAACTTATTTGAAAGGCAGAGAGAGTACAGATCTTCCTTGCACTGGTTCATTCCCTGGATGGTCACTTTAGCTGGTGCTGGGCCAGGTCAAAGGCAGGAGCCCAGAACTTAATCCAGGTCTCCTACATGAGTGGCAGGTACCCAAGTACTTGAACCATCAACCAGCTGCTTCCCAGGGTTGTGCATTAGCAGGAAGCTGGATTTGGAAGCAGAGCCGGGAGGGAAACCCAGGTGCTGCAATTTAAGATGGCAGGTGTCCCAAGTGGTATTTTAATTGCCGTGCCGAATGTCCTTTTCTATTAAGGATTTTATTTTCCTGTTTTGTTTCTTTGCCTGATAGTTCACTTTTGGGGGGTGGGGCAGTGGTGATATCAGATACCATGAAATTGGTTTTGGGGTGCTGGATCTTGTTTTCCTTTGAATATTTTTTTGAAGATTTTTATTTATTTGAGACCCAAATTATAGACAGAGGTCTTCCAGCTGCTGATTCACTCCCCAAATGATCACAACAGCCAGAGCTGGGCCATCTGAAGCCAGGTGCTTCTTCCGAGTCTTTCCATGTGGGTCTAGGGGCCCAAGCACTTGGTCCATCTTCCACTGCTTTCCAAGGGCATAAGTAGAGAGCTGGATTGAAGAGGAGCAGCCAGCACATGAAACAGTGCCCGTATGGGATGCTGGTGCCACAGGTGGAGGCTTAGCCTATGCTGCAGCACCAGCCTGTTTTGAAGATATTTTTATTTTGTTCTGGGATGCAATTATTTGGAAATAATTCACTCTTTTAGAGCCTGTAAATTTTGATAGTTAGGCAGCTATAGAACAGCCTTTAGTGCTAACTAATTTGGCTTTATTACTACTAAAGCAGTACTCTTCTGAGGGCTATACTTTGCCGCAAACTATTCTAGAACTGTTAAGATTTCATCTCCTTTTTGTTGGTTTGCTCCCAGTTTTTAGTTTTTTCACGTTAGGCTGATTAACATCAGAGGCTAAGTGACTGTTCTATATTTATCTGAGCTTGCTCTGTTCTGTCCTGTAAGTTCTGGCCACCTTGAATCTTCCCAAATCCATCTCTTCAATTCAGTGAGACTGTTAGAGGACTCTTGGAGTCCTCAGTGCTGTGGGTAAAAATTTGGCAATGAGTTGAAGTACTTATAAAGCTTGCCCCCTCCTTTTTTAACCTCTTCTCAGATTCTGTTATCCTAGTTGTTCAGTGTCTGAAAACTGATAGTTCATGTACATTGGTCATTTCTTAGTTGTTTCATGTGACTAGCTAAGAAAGTAAGTATTGCACCTCAATCTCTTACTGTTTAGGTACAAAACATTTTGTGTGTTCTTTTTGCCACATATTTATATGTAGCATTAATAATGTACTTATGTTTGTACATAAATTGTACATTTGTTCCTACCATATTGTATGTTGGTTTATGAACTCTTATTGTTTACAAAGATAAGTACAAAGATTTGGAGTAAGCACTTAAATATGTAAAGCAGTTTGGTATTAATCTGACATTTCCACTGTGTTTTACAAAAGTCATTTGTTATGGATTGGAAGTAAAAAAATGCTTATTTTGAACTACAAGTAAAAAAAATGCTTGTTCTCAAACCAACTACAAGTTGTTTGAGAAGCTGTATACTAGAACAATTGGTTAGAATAATTCTTAATAGAACTATTTGCAAAAAGGGCTTATAGATAAGTATTCATGATTACTCCAGGCTTCTGAGTATAAAGTGCTGCTTTTTCAGTTGTGCCTCATTTTTGTGGCTCTTAGCTATGAAGTTACTGCTTATTTCCAACCCAGATACTTAAATGGGTAAGGATTTGATCTGATATTTAAGTAAATCAGTAATACTTAGACTGAGTATCTAGTAAGTGATAGTTCTTTATTCTTTTATATTTTACTGAATTTAGTTTCCTTGTTTAAAATAGCCTTGGGTTTTACTTTTTTCCCTTAATTTTTCATTATAGAATTGAAGAAGATGCTCCTGCTCCTTCTACTTCCTCAGATAAAGTGGAGAGGTAAGAATATTTATATGGTATAGTTAGATTCATATCTGGAATATAAACTAAGGACAGTATAACTTGAAGGCAGTTAGTTTCATTATTTTTAATAGGTAACAAGACTGAAAGAAGCATCTGCTTTATTTCCTGTTTTATTCTTGAACTTTGAAGTCTTGCCTTCATTGTTCCTCTAACATGGTCTTGTTCATGGTCATTAATGCCATCTGTATTCCTTAATCCAGTGATCACTTCTCAGTCCTCAGAGCTAATCTTGTCAGCAACATTTGACACTATTGATTACTCCTTTACTTTTATTCATTTGGCTTCTGAGATACCATTTTCTGTTTATCCACTGTCCTCTCCATGGGGGTACCCCCCACTTGCCAGTTCCTCATCTCTCCTGTCTCAAAAGGAGGTTGTAAGACTCGTAGGACTTGTAGCCTTGTAGCCTCTCTTAATAGCCATCCCTGTGTAATCCCCATAAAATCTGTGGCTTTAAGCACATGACTCTCATTTGTATCTCTAGTTCTGATGTATCTGCTGGACCTCTCCTCTTTCACATCTTAGAGTTCTAATAGGCCTCTAGAATTAACACATTCAAAACTAAATAAATTGGTTCCCTTGCCTATCACCTGCTTTTCCCTCAGTTGGCTTTGTCTCAGTAAATGGCAGTGTTCTAGAATTCTTTGTCTTGATTGTCTAGCTTTGAATTTCTGCCGCTAGTTTTCAGTTTTTCCTTCTTTAAAATGAGGGCAGTTATCCAACAAGTTTATGAAGGTAGATACTAGGATTAAATGTAGTTGTAGATAAAGTCCTCACATGGTCTAATAAAGAATTTTTTGTTTTGACAGGCAGAGTTAGAGAGAGAGAGAGAGAGAGAAAAAGGTCTTTTTCCATTGGTTCACCCCCCAAGTGGCTGCTATGGCCGGCGCATTGCGGCCGGCGCGTTGCGCTGATCTGAAGGCAGAAGCCAGCTGCTTCCTCCTAGTCTCCCATGTGGGTGCAGGGCCCAAGGACCTGGGCCATCCTCCACTGCCTTCCCGGGCTACAGCAGAGAGCTGGACTGGAAGAGGAGCAGCCAGGACAGAATCCAGCGCCCCAACCGGGACTAGAACCTGGGGTGCTGGTGCTGCAGGCGGAGGATTAGCCTAGCGAGCTGCGGTGCTGGCTGGTCTAATACAATTGTTAAAACCAGTTTGCCCAGGTCAGAAAATGTTGGCTTTACCTTGACTCAATCAAGAAATTGCAAAGTTACTTGAGAAAGTTCATGGAAAATAGAATAAAAGATTATTTTGGTGCAGAAAAGTTTTTGAAATTCATGTACTTTTTAAACGATTGTATTTCCCATGAGCTTTTTGAAGACCATCATGTACGTTAACATTAGCAAATTACAAGATAAGTGTAGTATATCCAGAATCTAACCATTTGTGCTGCCTCCCAGGTCCTTGTTTAGATCGCTCTGGTGTGTGTTTAGATTTATTTGAAAAGCAGAGAAATCTTCCATCTTCTGGTTTACTCCGTAGATGGCCTCAAGAGTCAGGAACTCCATCCAGGTTGTAGAGTAACAGGGACAGTTGCTCTAATAGAGCAAGCTGGCTTTACAACCAGTAGCTTACTGCGTTCTGCCACAGCACTGGCTCCCTTTTTGTTTGTAGATTCTTGTACATTCATTCTTTTTTTTTTTTAAGATTTTTTTTTTTTTTTTGAAAGAGTCAAACAGAGAAAGAGAGAGAGTTCTTCCATCTGCTGGTTCACTCCCCAGTTGGCTGCAACGGCCAGAGCTGTGCCGATCTGAAGCCAGGAGCTACCTCTGGGTCTTCCCACGCAGATGCAGGGGCCCAAGGACTTGGGCCATCTTCTACTACTTTCCCAGGCCATAGCAGAGTGCTGGATCAGAAGTGGAGCAGCTGGGTCTTGAACTGGCACCAATATGGCTAGGCTACGGCTTTATCTGTTATGCCACAGCACTGGCCCCTGTGTAGAAGTCTTTTAATAGGCATACACTTTTATTTTTGATAGTTGTTAGATGGTTGTATTTTACATAGAAATAGAATGAGTGGTTCAAATGGCAGGTATATATCTAACTTTTAAGAAACTCCCAAACTGTTTTCTTTAAAAAAAAAAAAAAATTATTTTTTTGAAAGGCAGAACTGCAGAGGCAGAGTCAGAGAGAAGTTTCCATCCTCTGTTCACTCCAAAGCCAGAGGCCAGGAGCTTCTTACTGGTTTCCCACACAGGTGCAGGGGCCTAAACACTTGGGCCATCTTCTGCTGCTTTCCCATAATTAGCAGGGGGCTGGATCAGAAATGGAGCAGCCTCAAACTGTTTTCTAAAGTTATTCTATTATTCTACATTCATACCAGCAGTGTATGAGAGTTCCAGTAGTTCTATCTACAACCTTGCCAATACTAGATGTGGTTAGTCTTTGTTATTTTTAGCCATTCTAGTGGGAGTATAATGGTATCTACTTGTGAGTTGTTTGTATTTTATTTTTTTTAACTGATTAAGATGTTGAGCATCTTTTCATGTGCTTATTTGCTGTGTGTCTTAATATGTTCAAGTTCTTTTTATTGGATTGTTTTTTATTTAGAGTTGTAAAGAGTTCTTTATATATTGAAGTCCTGTGTCCGGTGTTTTACATATACCTTCTCCTAGGCTGTGCTTTGACTTTTTAGTTTTTAATATCTTTCAAACAAATGTTTTTATTTTTTTTTTAAATATTTATTTATTTGAAAGGCGGAATTACAGAGAGAGAAAGGGAGAGATATATTTTCCATTCGCTGGTTCACTCCTCAAATGGCTGCAACAGCCAGGGCTGGGCCAGATAGGAGCCAGGTCTCCCATGTGGGTGCAGGGGCCCAAGGACTTGGGCCATCTTCTGCTGCTTTCTCAGGGACATTAGCAGGGAGCTCGATTGGAAGTAGAGCAGCCAATACTCAAACCAATGGGCTACTCAAACCGTTGAGCATATGGGATGCTGGTGTCACAGGTGGCAACTTTACTGGCTACTTTGTAAAGCTGTTCAAGCTTTTTGTTTTAATGGTCTGGCCAGTTTACTGATTGTTTTCCCACCATTTTTAAAAATAGCTTTTGCTTTTTCTCTCATCTAGAAAGATTTTGTCAAACCCAGAGTTACTAGGATTTTCCTGCAGTTTCTGATAGAAATTTTATGGCTTTAAATTTTATATTTAGAAAATTTATGATCCCATTTCAAGTTAGTGTTTTATAATGTATGAGATAAAGATTGAAGTTCATCTCTTTTGCATATGGATATCCAGTTATTCCAGTGTTCTGTGTTAAAAAGATTATCCATTCTTCCAGTGCTATATGTTAAAAAGATTATCCATTCCTCCATTGAAATGCCTTGGCACTTCTGTCAAATTTCTGTTGGCCATATATACATGTGTGGATCTACTGAACTGTATTCTGTTTTCATACTCTGTTCTGTTTGATCTGTTTGCCTTTATACCAAAACCACAGTTTTTATTGAGTTCTTTGTCTCCTACCCTGTTTATATAAATTTTTATTGATTGAGAATTTTCTTTTAACTAGTATAACTTGTATGAATTTGATTCTTTTGTGATTTTTTTGTCTATTAGGAATATTTATAGTGACACAATATAGGCTTTGTGAGTAGATATCCTTTTATTTATTTATTTATTTATTTATTTGAAAGGCAGAGATAGACAGAAATATAGAGAAGGTGCTCCCATCTGCTGGTTCTTGGTGCTCTGCCAAGAACGGGTAGTAGGCCAGGCGGGAAGCCTGAAGCCTGGAACTTGATCCGGGTCTTTCATGGGTGCCAGGAGCTCAGTTAACTTGTTACCATCACCCTGCCTCTCAGGATCTGCATTAATAGATAAACCTTTAAGAGACAATATTCTAGTTAAAGTTCTGAGAATGTTGCCTTTGAGATTTCTTTTGGTTTTGCAGTAGTAAACAAACATGGGTTAACTATACTTTGCCAGAGTAGTCCAAAAATTTTTTTTAAATTAACAAAGCTATTATGTTTTAAATGTGTCCAGTAGATATTGATTTAAACAGTATTTGGCACTAAACAAAAATAAACTTTTTCTTGCAGTCTGGATGTGGATAGCGAAGCTAAGAAATTATTGGGTTTAGGACAGAAACATCTGGTGATGGGCGATATTCCAGCAGCTGTCAATGCATTTCAGGAAGCAGCTAGTCTTTTGTAAGTATTACATATTTTACCATGATGTAATATTATGTTCCTAATAAGTCCTGAGTTATAAACCGTTCGATTATGAGGAAAAAGAATAAAGAGCAAGAGTTTTAAAATGTGATGATTCTTCACATAATTGTTTATCCATTGAACTATAAAACTAAAATATTGCTGACTGAAAGACTTTAACTTTCCTGAGTAAGATAGTTTGTATTCCAGTCACTATTAATTAGGGTGACCAACTTGTCCTGGTTTCTTGGGGCTTTCCCAATTTTAATACTGGAAGTTCCATGTTTGGGGGTACCTGTCCTGGGCAAATCATGATTGATCACTCTGCCACTAATACCATTAATGGCATCACATTTTTCATACTTTTTTTTTTTTTTAAGACATTTATTTATTTGAGAAGCAGTTACAGAAAGAGGGAGAGACAAAGAGCAAGGTCTTCATCCTCTGGTTCATTCCCCAAATGGCCACAACGGCTGGAGATGGGCTGGTCTGAAGCCAGGAGCTTTTTCTGGGTCTCCCATATGAGTGCAGGGATCCAAGTATTTGGGCCGTCTTTCGCTGTTTTCCTGGGCACATTAGCAGGGAGCTGCATTGGAAGAGGAGCAGCTGGGACATGAACTGGTACCCATATGGGATGCTGGCGCTACAGGTGGAGGCTTAACCTACTATGCCACAGTGCCAGCCCCTTTCATACATCCTTAGCACCTTTGTTATCTGCTGTTGGAACCGGCTGGAAGCTGGCAGCTACCACCATCTGGCCATATAGATGAAGGTACAGAGTTCATGGAAAATGGAATTAAAAGTTTTTGGGTGCAAATCTGGTGTCTGTGTGTGTATGTGCACTTTTTTGATAGATACTACATGTTAAAATTTGTTACATCTTCATGATTACTTGGATATTATAGGGCAGGGAAACTAAACAAGGCAAATAAAGCAAATGCCCTCTTCCCACATGTAACCAGGAGCAACATATGGGCTTTTTTATGATTTGCAGTTGGTTTACTTAACTGACTTGGGTTGAAACCTGTCAACATCAAATTCGCAATTTAGGTTCTTCATCTTTTTTTTTTTTTTTTTTAAAGGATATGATTTATTTGAAAGAGTTACAGAGAGAGGCAGAGATCTTCCATCTGCTGGTTCACTCTCCAGATGGCTACAACAGCTAGGGCTGGGCCAGGTTGAAGCCAGGAGCTTCATCCGGGTCTCCCACGAGAGTGGCAAAGATCAAAAGACTTGAGCCATCTTTTACTGCTTTTCCCAGGCCATTAGCAGGGAGCTGGATCAGAAGTGGAGCAGCTGGGACACGATCCAGCACCCAAATGGGATGCTGATGTTGCAGGCCGCAGCTTTACCTGCTTGCCACAACACCGGCCCCACAATTTAGGTTCTTTCTTCATGATGCAGTTTGTTATGAAGAAGAACCAGGTTAGCTTTAATGTCTTAAAGATGTTCTATTTTCCTCAAAGACTACCTCCAGATCTGAGAGCCAAAAGAGTAAGTTAAATCTTGAAGCAGTAGCCTTTCCCTCTGATTTGGTTTGTGCTAGTTTTCTCTAAGATTGAAATATGAATTTAATGGTAGGCCAGTTCAATCTTTTTTTTCTAAATCATTTTACTTTATGCTGCTTAGTTTCTCCAGTTAAGCTTATTAGGCTCTCAGGCCATTAACATTAGTTGCCCTGACATTGCATGACTCCTGCTATTGCTTATCTTTTACTCATTGGAAGCTAGTCTTTATTTTACATAGAGAAGTACTTCCTCTTTCCCTTTTATTACACTTGTCTAGATATTAATAACTGAAATTTAAATAGTGCTGTCTTTTTTTTATTTGAGAGGCAGAGAGGGAAAGAGGTCTTCCATTCTCTGGTTCACTCCCCAGATGGCTGCAACAGCCAGAGCTGGGCCATTCTGAAGCCAGGAGATTTTTCTGGGTCTCCCATGTGGGTGTAGGGGCCCAAGGACTTGGGCTGTCTTTTGCTTTTCCAGGCCATAGTAGAGGGCTGGATTGGAAATGAAACAGCCAGGACTCGAACTGGCACCCACAGGGGATACTTCACTCCCATAAACCTTACTCATCTTCTAAATACAAAGGCTCTTTAAGTATTCCTGCCCATGACATTCATCTTGTGGCTGGAGGAATACCTATCAATGTATTTGGTCCTTGGATTATATACCAACTGAAATAAATTTTTTTTAAAGATTCATTTATTTGAAAGGCAGAGATAGAAGGAGAGAGAGAGAGAGAGATTCTAGCCACTGGTTCATTTCCCCAAATGGCCACAACAGCCAGGGTGGGCCAGGCCAGAGCCAGGAGCTTCTGGGTCTCTCACGTGGGTGCAGGGGCCTAAGTACTTGTGCCATCTTCCGCTGCTTTAGCAGCATATTAGCAGGGAGCTGGATTGGAAGTGGAGCAGTAGGTACTTGAACTGAAGTGCATATGGGGTGCCAGCATTGCAGGTGGAAGCTTAACTTTCTTTGCCACAGTGCCAGCCCCAAACTAAAACAAATTAATGTCAGAATATATAGATGAAGAACACAGTGATACTATTTTAGCGTATGCTTTTTTTTAAGATTTATTTATTTGAAAGTCAGTTAATGGGGGGAAAGGAGAGAGATTTTTTCAATCTGCTGCTGCTGGTTCACTCCCCAAATATCCACAATGGCTAGGACTGGGCCAAGCTGAAACCACAGCAGGGAACTCCATTTGGGTCTCCTACATGGGTGGCAAGAGCCCAAGTACTTGGGCCATCTTCTGCTGCTCTCCCAGGTGCACTATCAGGGAGCTGATACAGAAGTGGAGCAGCTGGGACTTGAACAGTTGCTCACATGGGATGTTGTTGTTGCAGGCAATGACTTAACCCAGTGTACCACAACTCCAGTGCTTCCCACTTTTTAAGATTTATTTATTTTGACCGGCGCCGCGGCTCACTAGGCTAATCCTCTGCCTTGCGGCGCCGGCACACTGGGTTCTAGTCCCAGTCGGGGCACTGGATTCTGTCCTGGTTGCCCCTCTTCCAGGCCAGCTCTCTGCTGTGGCCAGGGAGTGCAGCGGAGGATGGCCCAAGTCTTTGGGCCCTGCACCCCATGGGAGACCAGGATAAGTACCTGGCTCCTGCCTTCGGATTAGCGCGCATGAGGGTGAACCAACGGCAAAGGAAGACCTTTCTCTCTCTCTCTCTCTCTCTCTCTCTCTCTCTCTCTGTCCACTCTGCCTGTCTCCCCCGCCCCCCCCAAAAAAAAAAAAAGATTTATTTATTTGAAAGGCAGAAAAAAAAAAAACAGAAAGGGAGAGATGGATCTTCTGTCTGATGATTCACACTCCAAATGACTGCAACAGCTGGGTCTATGTGTAGCTGAAGCCAGGAACTCCATCCTTGTCTTCCAGATAGGTGGCAGGGGCATAAGCACTTGGGCTGTCTTCCCCTGCCTTCCCAGGCACATTAGCAAGAAGCTGGATTAGAAGTAGAGCAGCCAGGACTCAAACTGGTGTCCTAGGGCTGGTGCCGTGGCTCACTTGGTTAATCCTCCACCTGTGGCGCCGGCATCACATATGGGTGCTGGGTTCTAGTCCTGGTTGCTCCTCTTCCAGTCCAGCTCTCTGCTGTGGCCCGGGAGGGCAGTGGAGGATGGCCCAAGTGCTTGGGCCCCTGCACCCGCATGGGAGACCAGGAGGAGGCGCTTGGCTTCTGGCTTCGGATTGGTGTGGCTCTGGCCGTAGCGGCCAATTAGGGGGGTGAACCAGTGGAAGGAAGACCTCTCTCTCTTTCTCTTGCTGTCCATACTCTACCTGTCAAATAAAAGAAGAAAACTGGCACGGCACCCTAATGTAGGATGCTGGTGTCAAGTGGCAGTTTAACCCACCACACCACATTGGCCCACATACATTGTTTCTAAAAGTCCCTTTGATAGCAAAAGGGTTGTATTGATTTTCTAAAAGATTTGTGTCACTGAAGAAATGTCAATTTAAAGAACTAGAAATAATTTTAGATCAGATGTTAATTTTGTTTTCTTTATAGAGGAAAGAAGTACGGAGAGACAGCTAATGAGTGTGGAGAAGCTTTTTTTTTCTATGGGAAATCACTTTTGGAATTAGCAAGGTATGTCTTTTAAGCCTTGTTTATAAATAGAATGTTTTGTATCATCTTCGTGATCTAAAAACTGAGGTTTCCTTATTTGCTAAGATTGTTTACTAGCTTTGAGATTTCACATAAGCTAGCCAACTGGTATTACCTAGAAATAAAATTTTTGAGGGAGCATGAAACATCGATGGAAGTAGTGAACACCATTTAAAACAGACTGTAAAATTAAATTTTTGCTTTGGGATTCACTACAAGCAAAGATTTTTTCATTAGTGAATGAAAGTTAATTGATCCAAATAAGGTATATAGAGACGTTTTTAAAAAGATTTATTCACTTGAAATTCAAGGCAGCATGATAGACAAAGAAACAGCGTGCCTCTACCTACTGACTCCCCAGCAGCACCAGTAACTCAATCTGGGTCTCCCACGTGAGTGGAGGGAACCCAAGTTACTTGGGTTATCATCTGCTTCCCGGATGCATTAGCAAGTAGCTGAATTAGAAGTGTGGAGTAGCCAGGACTCGGTCTAACACTCTGATATGGAATTCAGGCATCCCAAGTGGCGGCTTAACTCCAGGAGTCACATCACGCACCCCTGGAAACCTTTAAAAATGAGTTTAGCTAGCTCAAAACAATCTTTAATTAGGAGTAGACAGGACAGTTTTTAAAGAACCCATAAATGTCTAGTAAATAAGACTCTAGTAATAATGGAAAGATCTTGGGTATTTTTCACCAGAACTTAATAATCAGAATTAAAATATATTGAAAGTATACATACTAGTAAAAATCTGTTTTCTATTTAATCTCATATCTGGTAACTCCTAGTCATGTAATCATACAGAACTTCATGTAGATTTATTATGAAAATGTTGATAGAATGTTATTGTCGAGTGTTGGAACAAAGTTGAGAATATCGTGGCCCTATTGTAAAGGCAATGCATACAGGTCTTTATCCTCTTTTTTATTTTTTTAATTTTTATTTATTTATTTATTTTTTATTTTTTGACAGGCAGAGTGGACAGTGAGAGAGACAGAAAGGTCTTCCTTTGCCGTTGGTTCACCCTCCAATGGCCGCCGCGGCTGGTGCGCTGTGGCCGGCGCACCGCGCTGATCCGATGGCAGGAGCCAGGAGCCAGGTGCTTTTCCTGGTCTCCCATGGGGTGCAGGGCCCAAGCACCTGGGCCATCCTCCACTGCACTCCCTGGCCACAGCAGAGAGCTGGCCTGGAAGAGGGGCAACCGGGACAGAATCCGGCGCCCCGACCGGGACTAGAACCCGGTGTGCCGGCGCCGCTAGGCGGAGGATTAGCCTAGTGAGCCGCGGGGCCGGCCCCTGTTTTTTATTTTTTAAAAAGATTTATTTATTTGAAAGGCAGAGTTAGAAGGAGAGGCAGAGAAATCTTCCATCTACTGGTTCACTCTACAAATGGTTCCAGTGGCCAAGGCTAGGCTAGGCAGAAGCCAGGAGCTTCATCTTGCTACATCAGTGGCAGTGGCCCAAGAACTTGGACCATCTTCTGCTGTTTTCCCAGGCACATTAACAAGGAGCTGTATAGAAGTCGAGGAGTTGGGACTCAAACCAGCACTCATATGGGATGCTGGCATTGCAAGTGGTGGCTTAACCTGCTGTGTCACAACACTAGCCCAGAAGTTTTGATTATTGCTGTTTTCCCATGAATATATAGTTTTATATTCCTTGTACTTACTTACACCCAGTAGATTATATTTATTATACCTTTGATTCTTTCTTTTGTTCTCCTAGAATGGAGAATGGTGTGTTGGGAAATGCCTTGGAAGGTGTGCATGTGGAAGAGGAAGAAGGGGAAAAAACTGAAGAGGAATCTCTGGTAGAAAATAATGATAATGTAGATGGTATGTAGAATTGCATGTGACATTCAAGAGATGCAGTATATATATATTTATATCTTGTATACAAGTGATGGAGATAGGGCTCTCCCTGCCTTGGCTGGTCTCTCCTAAGATGCTTAAGGGGATGCCTGCATCTGGTAGAGGCTGCAGTGGCTGAAAGTGACAGCAGGCTTTTGTAAGAGGGTAACTTTTCAGATCTGGCTGTTTAAATTTGTGTTTTATATATTATTGCAACCTTAAATTTTTTTTCTAGTGCAAATTTTTTAGATAGTCTGCAGCTCAGTTACTTTCACATTTTTCCGTTTAAAAAATATTGATTTCTAAGCTGAGTTGGCTACAGAGCTGTATGTATCAGACAGTTATATTGTTTAGAGAAGAGTGAGAGCTTGGCATCTCTTACCTAACTGGTAATCAGAATGCTCAAAATGAAACAATACAGTGTCTAGTGTAAGGAGCATGGGTTTCTTTCATTAAGTGCTCTGCTAGCTGTGACTCTCCCTTTGCTTTTCTCAAGGGGGCAGGTAGTTTTTAGGCCATCTGCTAAAACTTAAGCCAGGCTGTTTGAGGGTTTAAAGGGAATGTATTTTTAGTTTCCATTTATTCCTTTATCATTATACTCGAAGACATGTTTATGCTTCATGTTCTTTAACCATGTAGAGGAAGCAAGGGAAGAGTTGAGAGAACAGGTTTATGACGCCATGGGAGAGAAAGAAGAATCCAAAAAAACAGAAGGCATGTCTCTGTCAAAGCCTGAAACTGCTAAAGAACAGGAGAGTGAAATGGAGAAGGGTGGAAGAGAAGATATGGATATAAGTGAGCCTACAGAGGAGCTCCCAGAAAAAGTTGCCTTGACTCCAGATCAGTTAACTGAAACCTCTGAAGAGGCAGAAGGAGCAGCAGCACCAGAAGGACTGAATGAAGCTGAGGTCACTTCTGGGAAATCAGAACAGGAAGCAGCAGATGCTGAGAAAGGAAAATCAGTTTCTGGAACTGACGTCCAAGAAGAGCACAAAGAACAAGTTGAGGAGAAGCAGGGAGAGGTGATTGTGAGAATAGAGAAGCCAACAGAAGCTTCTGAAGAGCAGCCTGGTACAACTCTAGGAAAGGATAACACGGCAGTGGAGGTAGAAGCAGAGCCTGTAGACGCAACAGCCAAGCCAGTGGATGTGGGTGGGCATGAACCAAAGGAGCAGATGGCTACCTCTGGAAATGAGCCAGGAAAGGCTGTTCTCAATGAGCAGTTGGTAGGGCAAGATGTGCCTCCTGTGGAAGAGTCACCAATGGTGACAACGGAGGCTGCAGAGGTGGGATCAGAAGTGTCTGAGAAGTCTGAGCAGGAGGCCACAGTTGTCTCCAATGATGGTGCAGTTAATGGACTGTCAGCTGCAGGAGATCAGGCTTCTGTTGACCCACAGCCTTCTGCAGAAAGAGTGACAGAAACAAAAGGTGGCTCAGAACTAGAGGAGGTCAGGGCAGAACTGGCTCCTAGCCAGGAGGCTAAGCTGCCCATTGAAGAATCTGAGGGAGCTGGTGATGGGGTTGAGACCAAGGTAGCCCAAGGGGTTACTGAGAAATCACCTGAAGACAAAGTTAAGATAGCTGCTAATGAAGAGACACAAGAGAGAGAAGAACAGATGAAAGAGGGTGAAGGTAACCGGGATATGCAAGAGCTGCAGTGGGTGGAGTACATTCTGGAGTTGACACACTAATCATGGGTAAAAGTCAGCCTTCCATTCAGGATTTTCCGTCTGCCTTTGGATTAGGAAAGGGCTAAATGAAAATGGGGAAAGTTTAAAAAGGTTGTGATAAGTTGAGAAAGTATCAAAAGCAGCAAGTCTTCTTTAAGCTGGCTTATTTATAAACTAACACTTTGTACTAACTGCAAAGCAGGTCTTCTCTGATTTCTGAGACTTTGCTAGCTATCAGTAACTTGTTGCACCATACTTGCCAATAAAGGCAGATGGAAAGGTAGATGAGGGGTGGGTGGGATAGGAGGGAAATAGTGGGCTAGGCTGGCAGAGAATGCTGAATGGATGTTCACTTGCATGCTCCTGGATTTTTTTAGTTCACTGTTCACAGGTTTTCTTCTCTGCTTTAGGAAGCAGGAGCAGAGCAGTAGAATCCATTGAATTGGTACACTTAAGCAGGCATGCCATTTAAATGAAGGCAATTACCTTGAATATTCTGGCACCAAAACTGAAGAATCCTGATGCCCCTTCAACCTTTAGTTTTCGAGACCATTCACATTAGTGACAATATCACTCCCCCTGCCAAACAAAAAAGAAAATCAAAAAGCCATTAACCCTCTTGTTGCTTCTCTTACCTCGTTTCATGCTGTTTTGGCCGATAGACTGAATTTTCTGTTACTTAGAATTTTACAAAATATGGAGACTTTGTATCGTGTTTTGGTCTAATTATGATTCACTTTTGTCGATATATATAAGCCTCTAATTAGTAATTCCATAATTGGCATGTCTGACTTGAGTTGTGCTGTCATTTGAGGATTCTACTGTAGACAAGGTTCATCTAACATTGGCGTTAATAACCCCAGTTATATTCCAGTTGCTTATTACTATTACTTGTGTAATTGCTAGACTACCACAGGAGTTTCTTAAGTTTAAGATTTTCAGAGGCCCAATTTCAATTCTTGGAGATTATTCTGTGAACTTCCTTTTACCTATGTGCAGGTCCTTGCACTCCAGCCAGCAGAAGCACGGTAACTAGAAGGGGATTGGCTAAATGACAGCACCATTGGGTTTATTGGGCATTAGGATTTCTTTATGGAAAAAGCACAGGACTGAATTCCTCAATTTTTAAGAACTCAGTTCTTGATTGTAATGATAGTGAGCCAAGGACAGAAAGGCTTTGCTGGCTCTCTTAGGTTGGACCTTGATGAGCTGTAACAGGGACGTCATCTTCCTAACAAACTGTTCCATTGGATCATAAGTATCATTGTTTGAGATCTTTCATTGCATTATTACTTATGATTCCAAAACAATACTATTTGCTGTAATACAATGAGTCTTAAAGAGTTAATGGAAAATGTGTATTATGAGTACACATGCATGTATTTCAGTTTTTGCATCAAAATTAATTCCATTTTTCCATGAACTTCTTGAAGTTCCCTTGTATTACTCCAGTTAGAGTGATGAAGAGGTTGACACTTAAAGGTTATATGTATAACTTGTGTAGGGTCAAAACGGTAAGTCATAGTAGTGAATCTGAACCTAGCTCTGCCTTGAATATATTTTCATTCCCAAGCTACCTCACATGTCCACTTGGACATTCCTAGTCATTTTTTAATTTTTTAAATGCTTACAAAAGCTTAGACTTTTCCTTAAGCTGTACTTTTGAGTATTCTGTGCCAGTACTGTTCTACTTAGAAAAGATAGTATAATTTCCCATATTCTACAAATGAAGAAATGGAAGAAAAAGGTTACTAATTCATTTGCCTCAGTCATGCAGCCAGTAAAGTGAGGACTGGGTGCTGAGACAGCCTAACTTGGGCAAAACTGCCTGCCTGCCTGCTTGCTTGCTTGCTTGCTTTCCCCCCAATCTCCCCAATTGATTTAGTTATGTATCTGTAAGGGCAGAGTGACAGCGAGAGGAAGAAATGGACAGAATGGTCCTCAGTCTACTGGTAAATATTCCAAATGGCTGCAATAGCAGGGACTTGGCCAGGCTGAGGCCAGGAGGATGGGACTCCTGGGTTTCCTATGTGAGTGGCAGGAACTTAAGTATTCTAGCCATCATCCTCTACTTCCCGGATGCAAGCAGAGTGGTTGGGACTCAAACTGGCCTCTGATATGAGATGGCAGGCATCTCAGGCAGCAGCTTAACCTGCTCTGGCGCAACGCCTTATGCTAGCCACCTACTTTCTGTGCTTTATTCCTCTTTATGTGGCAACACCAGTCCACAGATATCTTGCAAGTGGTTTTCACTTAAAAATTCATAAAATTCTGTTTCCTACCACCTCTTTACATTTTGCCATCTCTTGGACTGTCCATATCCCAAGTAAAGTTAATCTGTTCCTTTTCTAATTGTCCAGTGTGATTGGTAAGTGAACATTTTAATTGTCATAAATATCGGCTATGCTCAGATGGACTTTGTGACAGGGACCTGACTTCCCTGTGAGAGTTTTAGAATATGGCTGCAAATTTAAAAGGAATCATTACCAGAGTGACTAACTGGTTTGCTCACTCGAATTCTTTATATGCTGGAGCTGGCTGGAGTCTGTGGCATGCTCATTGGTGAGAGTTGGTAAGGGCTATGCTTTCCTCTCCACAGCTCTGTTGTGAGAAAGCTAGTCTCGAGCATGCTTGTTCTCAGTGGACTGGATAAGTTAACTTTTGGCACATTTCCATGTCTATTACCTAACAAGTGGAATAAAGATACCAGAAACACTTGCTTCTGGCTGAGTGGATGGGAGCTGTAACAGTGAATAAGAGGCAGTAGTTAGTTCAACTCATTCTAAGTGATCCATGTTGACTTTTTATAAGAAAAGCACTTGGCCTTTTCATTGCTGTTGGTCTGACCCATAGATAAGATTACATATACTAAGTTAGACTGGAATTAAGCTGCAACCACAGGATTTATATTCAGTCCAGCTGTTAACTGATTGGGATTAGCATCTGTTTCCTATCTCAGCATATAGGCTGACAGATGTTTATTGGAATCTTTGATTAGTCCTTAGTTGTATTCTCAATACTGAGGAATTTTTGCTTGTAGAAACTGAAGGCTCAGAAGAGGAGGATAAAGAAAATGACAAGGCTGAAGAAGAAACACCAAATGATTCAGTTCTTGAGAATAAAGTAAGTTGTTATTTATTCACTACCCTTGTCTGCTTTCTTACTGTAGGGCTATAGCTTATTAGTGGAGGTATAATTATGGTAGACACCCATTTCTTGGGGTTAGGGAAGATTAGTTTCCCTTTATTATTTTTTTTAAGGTTTATTTTATTTATTTGAAAGGCAGAGTTAACAGAGCGAGGTAGAGACAGAGAGAGAGGTCTTCATCCACTGGTCCACTCCTCAGATGGCCACAACGGCTGATATGAAGCCAGGAGCTTCTTTCGGGTCTCCCATGCAGGTGCAGGGGCCCAAGAACTTGGGCCATCCTCTACTGCTATCCCAGGCTATTGCAGAGAGCTGGATCGGAAGAGCAGCTGGGACTAGAACTATCACCCATATGGGATGTTGGCACTTCAGGCCAGGGCTTTAACCTGTTGCGCCACAGTGCCGGCCCCATAGGTTCCTTTTATTAGTGTCCAGAATGGACAGATCTGTTGGGTTCCAGGGAGATGTCCTGTTAGGACTGAACCTGACAAATCACTGATGACTTAAGGAAATTTTGTAGGGACCCGTTTTATAGTTTCTAGGGGAGAATGTCTAATTTTTTTTGTAAAGATAATTTATTTGAAAGAGATATCTTGCATCCATTGCTTCAGTTCCCATAAGGCTGGGGCTGGGCCAGGACCAAGCACTTGGGCCATCTTCTGCTTTTCCTAGGCATTATAGTAAGGAGCTGGATCAGAAGTGGAGCAGCTGGGACACAAATCATTGCCCATATGTGATGCCAACACTGTAGGCGGTGGCTTTGCCAGCTATGCAACAATACTGGCCCCAAGTCTGAATTTTGAATCATATGTCAAGTTGTTTATTCTTCTTTTACCCATACTAAAATTAAACATTTAGATTTGTGCTCTGAAAAGATGCCATTCTTTTACCTAAATCAGTGATTTGGATATATTTTAGTCTCTTCCAGAAAATGAAGAGGAAGAGATTGGGAACTTAGAACTTGCCTGGGATATGCTGGACTTAGCAAAGATCATTTTTAAAAGGTAAAGCTCTGGGTGCTTCTAGATTGAGGCTGGAAGTTTGGTGTTTGAAAATAGAAAGCAGTTAGGTTCGGACAAGTACTGTTAAAGAGTTCTGGTCATCTCCTTCTTTAGGCAAGAAACAAAAGAAGCCCAACTTTATGCTGCACAGGCACATCTTAAACTTGGAGAAGTTAGTGTTGAATCTGGTAATGCATTTTCCATTTTACTCTCTAACCTCCCCTGCCTGCCCTGTTCTTCCTCTAATAGATTCTCTAAAACCCAGCCTGATTTTAAGTTGGGTGGTTGGATTTTTAAAAATGACACTTTTATAGAGCAATCTCTAAAAAGCAAAAAAGTCATTATGGCATTCTTTGGAGATACTATAAACACAAATGAAATGTTAAATGGAACATTGGTGCAGAGTGGGTCTTAATTGTGTGAAATACCTTATTAAGTGTTGTACATTTACTTGTTATTCTCTTAATTAGAGAATTATATCCAAGCTGTAGAAGAGTTCCAGGCTTGCCTGAGCCTGCAAGAGCAGTATCTGGAAGCCCATGACCGGCTCCTTGCAGAGACCCACTACCAGCTGGGGTTGGCTTATGGATACAACTCTCAGTATGATGAGGCAGTGGCACAGTTCAGCAAATCTATTGAAGTCATTGAGAAGAGAATGGGTGAGTGAACACCAGCTGCTTCTCATGCTGATAGTTGGAGCAGTTGATAAAACACAGTTGATAAAAACAAATCCTTTTGTGGTAATTATTACTGATCATGTTAGCCTATTTTTTGTAGCTGTGCTCAATGAGCAGATGAAGGAGGCTGAAGGATCATCTACTGAATATGAGAAAGAGATTGAGGAGCTGAAAGAATTGCTACCTGAAATCAGAGAGAAGATAGAAGATGCAAAAGAATCCCAGCGTAGTGGGAATGTAGCTGAATTAGCTCTGAAAGCTACTCTGGTTGGTTCAGTCCCCTCCCTATCCCCCTTTTATTTACAATACTTAATTATTTGAAAGGGAGAGCAACAGAAAGGGACAGACCTTCAGTCAGCTGATTCATTCCCCAAACGGCCAGGTCTGGGTCAGGCCAAAGCCAGGAGTCCAGAGCTTCATCCTTGTCTCCTACCTGGGTGACAGGAACCCAAGCATTTACTTGGGCCATCTTCCGCTACTCTCCCAAACGCATTAGCAGGAAAGTGGAGTGACCAGCCCACATATGGGATTGCTGGCACTGCAGGCAGTGGCTTAACCTGCTGTGCCACAGCGTTGGCCCCTAAATATGAACTTTTCAACATGACCTGGGTTTCCAGGGAGTTGGTGAACAGAGGGAATGTGAGAGCTCAGCTAATTAATTATCCTGATCAAATAGGGTAGCAGTTAAAAGAGAATATGTTCTGGAGCAGACTGGGTTTGAATTACATCTGTACACTCCTTAGTATGTGGGCATTCTGTGTGTAAAATGGGGTAATAGTTTCTGTGTAAAATACAGTACCAGAACAAAAGGGATTAACAAAATATATGGTATTTCCATTTCTGAGGCCACCTGCCTCTTCTGACTTTTGGCTGCTTGTGTCCTGAGTGGGAGGTATATGTGAGGTTGTATGTCTGCCTGGAATCTTGCTTGGAAGCCACTAGCACATCAGGGCTTTTCTTGGGTACTAGGCTAGTGCGTGCCTGCTGTCAGCCTGAACGCCCTGGGTTTGTCGTTTCTCCAACAGGTGGGGAGCTCGACTTCAGGTTTCACTCCTAGTGGAGGCGGCTCTTCAGTCTCCACGGTGGGTATTCAGGTATTTTGTTTTGTTTTTGTCACTTCAGCCTCTGTTGCTCTCATGTAGTGTGTACATCACCAACAGACTTTTTTGTTTTTGTCAGATTGCCAGTAGAAAGCCAGCAGATGGTGCTTCTTCATCAAATTGTGTGACTGATATTTCCCACCTTGTCAGAAAGAAGGTAAATGTACACGTGGTTCGTTCGTTCGTTCTTTCTCTCTCTCTCCTTTTTAATTATTTGACAGAAAGGTCTTCCTTCTGTTGGTTCACTCCCCAAATGGCTGCTATGGCCAGCACTGCGCTGATCTGAAGCCAGGAGCCAGGTGCTTCTTCCTGGTTTTCCATGTGCGTGCAGCGGCCCAAGCACTTGGGCCATCCTCCACTGCCTTCCCAGGCCACAGCAGAGAGCTGGACTGGAAGAGGAGCAGCCGGGACAGAATCCGGTGCCCATATGTGGTATTTTCTTTCCCAGTCTTTAAACTTGGTCTTTTGTTAACATCTACTCCTCAGCCCCACCCTGACCACTATGCTTCTAGCAGGGGGTCTGAATTTTGCAGAGTATGAGGTGGTATCTGCATCCCGTGGCTAGGGAGAGAGGGAGGCAGACCATTAGAACTGTGTATCCTGGTGTTTAGGATCTTTGCGCTACATGGGTTAAATCTTTTGCAATTGTGTTTTTAAAATGTCAAGCCTTCACAATTATATCTTTAGAGGAAACCAGAGGAAGAGAGCCCCCGTAAAGATGATGCAAAGAAAGCCAAACAAGAGCCGGAGGTGAATGGAGGCAGTGGGGATGCTGTCCCGAGTGGAAATGAAGTTTCAGAAAACATGGAGGAGGTAAGGTGGGCAGTTAAGCAGGTGTTGGCCTCTTAGGGAAGCCATTCCTCCCAAGTGCGTGTTTTCTACTGTGAGCCTGTTTGGATTGGTTGAGTGTAACCATCACAGAAATAGTGGTTTTGGAGTCTGAAACCTATGTACCCAGGTCCCCTTCAGTGAATGTACGAGAGGGCACTTGATTGGCAAGACTAATAGGTCACTTCTGCTCGTCCCCTTCCATGTATTGTATGACTGCTGGCTCATCATAACAGAATGTAGGAATTGATTTTGTACAGGGAGTAAAGCATAGTTTTGCCTTCGTGATTGTATGACAGAATGGTTTCAAAACTAGGGTCACTTATGCCCAAGCTCCCTGTTTTTCAGGCTGAGAATCAAACCGAAAGCCGAGCAGCAATGGAGGGGACAGTGGAGGCTGGAGCTACAGTTGAAAGCACTGCGTGTTAAGAGAGGGAGCAGAGCCTTCCTATCAAGGGAAAGTGTTTTGTATATAATGTATTTTTTCACTTTTGGGGGATTCTTTTTGTATAACTTCAATAAAGATTGTAAGCAAAGGTTGAAGTGTTGTTTTTTCCTTAAATATTAGCTGAATCTGTGCCTTGGGGTACTCCAGGTTTTATAGAGTGGCCAAAGGTACTTGTCTTTTGCCTTCTGTATTGATCTCTATGTTGGAAATTTTAACCCCAGTTCCTGTCTGACATGTAGGTGATGAAAGCAGTGTGGCTTGTAGGCCCATCATCTTCTACCGGTGCTATATTTTTTTCCTACCAAATACTTGCAAGGTCTTGCAAACCTTCAGTGGTGCTGTCATTGGATAGGGGCTATACAAGACCTGGTGAGGATCTTGCTTTGGGGTGCTGAAAACGAATGTTGGACATTGAACCAAGCCTTGGGTGGTACCTATACCTGTGTACCTAGTCTCCAACTAGGGCCAAGATCCTGCCCTGGAGAAAGAACTGAAGAATTGAGGCGGGTATTTCCTGAGAAAAAGAGTTGATCTCTTAAATATTAGAAAATTGAACACTCTGGTGTGAAAGGAGATTTAGGATGATGGTGATGGACACTTGGGCTGTGACTGGAAGAATCTGTGGGGAGGCTGGCTCACGCTATATTTGTTATTTTCTGTATAGAAAAGTTAAAATATATCAATACTTGGAATTGTTACTGTCTGCAGTTTTGACTTCTCAAATAAAGATATTAAAAAGCCCCTGGTCTGGAATTGTATTTAAAAATCTCACTGTGAGATCTAGACTACCTGGAAGATTTCAATATGGGAAAGGCAGAAGCAGCCCACCAGTTCTGGGCATCCAGTCCAGGAGTGCTAGTGATCCAGGTACTGATGCTTATGCCCTCCCATTGGGCCCTTACTGATGTGCAGGGTGCTAGCTGAGTGCCTCAGACTTGACCCTTAGCTTAATCTGTTGTGGACTTGGCACTGTTTGGGTTTGAGCCTTTTTTTTTTTTTTAAACATGTACTTAATTGGGGACCAGCATTGTGTAGAGGTTAGAGCTGCCATCCATGAATATGGTATCCCCTATGGGTGCTGGTTCATGTCCCAGCTGCTCCAGTTCTTTGCCAGTGGCCTGGGAAAAGCAGCAGAGGATAGCCCAAGTGTCTGGGCCTCTACACATGGGAGACTCAGAAGAAGCTCCTGCCTTTCGCTTGGCCCAGCCGTGGCTGTTGTGGCCATTTTGGCAGTGGGCTAGTGGATGGAAGATCTCTAACTGCCTTCCTTTTTTTTTTTTTTTTTTTTTTTTTTTTTTTGACAGGCACAGTGGATAGTGAAAGACACAGAAAGGTCTTCCTTTTGCCGATGGTTCACCCTCCAGTGGCCACCACGGTGGCGCGCTGCGGCCAGTGCACCACGCTGATCCGAAGGCAGGAGCCAGGTACTTCTCCTGGTCTCCCATGGGGTGATGTACTTAATTTGCAAGGCAGGGTGACAGAGGAAGACAAAATTTTCCATCTTTTGGTTCACTGCCCAAATTCCTGCAAAAGCCACAGCTAGTCCAGGCCAAAGTCAGGAACCAGGAACTTCATCTGAGTCTCCCATGTCAGTGGCAGGGGCCCAAGCACTTGAGCTATCTGCTGCCTCCTAGCACATATTAACTAGAAACTGCATGGGAAGGAAGTGTAGGGATGGTGTTATGCCATGATGCCTGCTCTACATCATCCAAAAGGATTTTAATTTGTTCCCCCCACCTACTTGAAAGGCAGAGTGACAGATTTATCCATTCACTGATTTCACTCCCTAAAGTCTGCAACAGCCAGAGCTGGGCCTAAAGCTAGGAGTTTGGAATTGAATCTGGGTCTTCCCACATGGGTGGCAGGAGCCCAAATACTTGGGCCATCACTTAGAGCTTCCCAGGGTGCATTAGCAGGAAGCTGGATTTGAAGAGGAAGAATCACTATTAAAATAGTTAAGGGATGTTGGTATCCCAAGCAATGGCTTTACCCACTGCACCAGAGTGCCTGCTCCATACCCAGGAGGACTTAGTTTAGTCATCCTGACACTTGCAGGGCTTATTCTGCTACAGGTTAGAACCTGCTACTTTTAACATCCATGGTTGACCTTCAAGTCAACTCCATTTTATAGTTTTTTCTTAATACTACAGGAAATGGTTGAATTTTTCCTAGGCTAGTCACAGTAACAATTGCAGAATCTCTGGCTTACTGTGGTTCTAAATTCCATTCCGGAACCTGCCACCACTATATTCCAGATCCTGAGCTCTTCCAGTCCCCTTTGTTTCTTGGTCGGGACAGTCATGACATACTTGTCTGCTAGGCTCTTGACTGCAGAGCTGGGCTGTGTCTGCTTGAATCTGCATCTCCAGGTGTCCCTTGCGAGGAACCACCGTTGGGTTGGGGCCCTATTCTGGAATCTGAAGTGTATGATGAAACTTCAAAAAGCTCATGGAAAAATTTTATTGAGGTACAAAAATTTCCTGAAATCCATGCAGTTTTTTTTTAATGATACACACTTCTTTCCATTAACTTTTTTGAAGACAAGTCTCAGAAATTCCTTGTTTATGGGGACCTTGAGAGCCTGGATAGAAAGGCTTGGTGAAAATCCGTTGGATAAAGTTAGTTTGGCAATAAAGTGAAGTTTTAGCAAAACCTAGCCATTGGCATACTCAATCTTCAACCTTTTACAAAAGGCAAATGGATACTGTAGGGTCAAGCACTGGTGGGAGGTGGAAAAGCTGTGGTGAGAACACAAGTACTTTTTGCTGCTAAGTAATACAGCTGCAGGACTAGTCCTATGCATGTTCGGATACAGTCTCAATTCACCTGGGCTCAGAAGCCAGGGGGGGCGGGTCAAAGCTGTGGTCAGAGTTCAAACCCTCATCTTTATCCTTGACTCCACCACGGGGCTCTTCAGTGGGCGGTGCAGGGTCAGCAAAACCAGCCATGGGGATGAGGGAGTTGGCTTCCAGTGAGGATGAGTTGGACACCTGTGGAACATGAGCAAGCAGGTCTTAACAGCACACGTTAACAGCACAGGTTCTGAGTCTCAAAACTACTTTGAGCCAAGTTAACCTCATCTTGCTTTTATTTCCCTGTTTGTACTATTTACCCAACGTGTTGTGAGGGTCAAATGAATTACTGTACAGAAAGCATTTGGTAGTTAACTGGCACACAGCAGTCCATAAAGCTGGCTGTGAACCTTACCAGTCACAACGATGTTGTCCCTAGCTCTACCTGGGTTCTCACCAGTGGTGGGTACTGGTATTCATGGGCAGATGCAGGGCTGATCTCTGCCAGTGTCTGAACATCTGCATCTCTTGCATTCACCAGCCGCAGGAAGAGCTCAGCCTGACCTGCCTGGGAGGAAGGGAAATGGTACTGCATTTGTACCTTGTAGTAGACCCAGGCCCAACCCGTAACACTCACCTGGGGAATCCCATTCAGCTGCCCAAAGCTAAGGCTGGAGTCCAAAGGAAGGGCCCGAAGTGGGAGGCGCCAGCGGCCACTTAGCACCCGTTGATCTCGGTCAAATAGCACCAGAGAGGTCCACGCCTTTGGCTGTGGTGGCCCAATTCCTGCCATCCCTTGCCAGGCCAGTAGCTCACAGACCAAGGATACTGATGGTGAGGGTGGCAGTCTGTAGATAAACCAAAGAGGCATTGAAAGCCAGAGATGCAGTCCCTTCCTCGGACTAGGCCCTCAGAGCCAGCAGACGAGAAAATTCAGCAGCATGACAGCTAAGTCTCAATCTGGCAGACTGCCAAAGACGTGCTCCCCACCTACTGACCTGGGCACAGGCTGCCTGCTGGCAAGGATGGCACAGTTGCCCATGGGCCCAGGAGCTGGAGGCGGGGGCAAGCAAAGGGCTGGGGGCAACGCTGTAGTCCCTCCTGTGTCATGTCCATCTCGAGACAAGCCAGTCAACAGCTGCACCCAAATCCAAGAAGCTTCAAGGCCCCGCAGGAAGTCATAGAAAATGACCAGGCCAGCCCTGGGGGACACAAGTCTAAGCACACAAACACCCAGCTCCTCTCACCCCTCTTCTCTCCCCAGCTAGCTCCCCAACCCACAGATGTCCAAGCAAGAAGCAGGCCTTACCCAGGGTCATAGGGCGCAGGGCCCAGGACATCAGATGTGGGCAGGAGGAAGTGTGGGTTCAGGCCCAGCTTCCCCGTCACGGATCCAGAAAGCTGCTGTAGCGGGGAAAAGAGTTGACTCCTACAGAAAGCTTCCTAACTGCCCATGCTCCCCCAACCCCACAGAGCACAGCTGTCCTGCCCCAGCCCGGGGCCTCACAGCCTTTCCCGTGCCACCCAACAACTGGATGGCCGTGGAGCCTGGAAGTGGAGGCAGCGGGGGTGCCACGGGCAGCGGGAGGAATGCGGGTTCTCTCCTTCCCTTTGGGTGTGGACGGGGACTGGACAGGCGTCCCACCTCTCCAGGCCCTAGAAGCAGAGGAAGAGTTGGGGCTCCCTGAGGCGCAGGAAGCCTCCTCCAGGAGTCAAGTCCACAAACACGGGTCTCATGCACTCCTGATGCATGGCTCCTCCACACCCTCACTCTGAGCCGGGCATGCGTGGGAGGGCTCAGTGGGACGGGGTTGGGGTGCTCACTAACCCCAGGGTACCTGGCCCAGGCCCAGGCTCCTCTGCATCTGCAAGGCCAGGATTTCTGCCTCCAGGCGCCGATTTTCTGCCTCCACCACTAGAAGCTCCCCCGAGGCGGCCCCTGTTCTTCCTGGAAAGAGCACGTCTAACCTGTCACCTTTGACCTCTGGTGACGAGCCGGGTCCGCCTCTGAGCAGCTGTGCAACATGAGGGCCCCTTGGACAGGCCCGCTGGACTCGTCAGCTTACATTCTAGCTACTGTCGCAATGACCACCCAGGCTTCCTTCCTCGGGGCTTTTGTGCAAGTGGTTTCCACGCCAAAGACGTCCTCCCCTCCTGCCCCCCACCCCACCACCATGACTAAGGCCACCGCAGCGAGAGGCTCTCCTGGCCGGCCCATCCTGTGCTCTCCTGTGGGTCCGCGACCGCCGCTGCTCCAGTGCCGACGCCTCCACCTGCAACTGCCACAGCTGGCCCAGAATGCCAGGGTCCCGACCCCCACCTCGAAGGTAGGTCTCACGCAGGGACCTAAGCAGCAGGGGAAACAAAGGGACAGGACGGCGTCTTTCCAGGGTTCATCAGCACTCAGCCCCAGGCCCATTCAGGGCACCTGCGCTCACCCAATCTCAGCAGCTAGAGTTGCTGGGTTGGCGGGCAGCCCCGGAAAACAGAGTGCAGCTTCTTGCCGGGCTTTCAGACTAGTCCTGCAGCGGGCGGCGACGCACGTAGATGACGTCACAGACACAGGCCTAGCCCACCCACCGCCGCAGCACCCCCATCCCCGCCTCACCCAGACTGCGGCTGCAGCTCCTGCAGGCGCGCACCCAACATCTCTAGAGTTCCCCGCGTCCGCCCCGCCTCTGACCGGAGTTCTCGGAGCTCCCGCTCCACTCCGGTTAGACGGGGTATCCCGCCTCGGCTCCGGGCTATACCTTGGAGGCGCAGGCTCAGTTCTGAGGGAGAGAAGCCAAGTTAAGAACAGGTCCGAGTATCCTTAAGCCGAGGGCCGCAGCCGGTCCCGGTCTCCCCTCACCCTCGCCGCGTCGCTCCAGGGCCCGTCTCTGGGCTTCCGTCTCTGCCACGCGCCTGGCTCGAGTCCTGTGCAGCGCCCGCAACCGCTCTCCCGGGGTTCCACAAGCCTCGTTGCTGGGGTCTTGAGACCCGGCCTCTGATCGCCCCAAGAGCCCCGCAGACTCTCGGGGGACCTCCGTTATCCACGGTCGCATTTTCTGTAGGGACAGCCGCAGCCACTGCACCTGGGGGTTAAGTGATGGGCGAAGTCTGGGTTGGGGTGACTTGTCCCGCGTGGGATCTCCAGGCGTGGGGAGGGCGCGGTGGGTGTACCTCCTCTGTTAACCTCCATAATGCAGACTGGCTGGCCTCCTTCTCGGAGAGGCCCTGGGGTTCTTGTGACATCACCTGGGGATAGAGTGTGGCATGAGGAACCCTGCCGCTCCAGCTGGCTTCAACACCCCGCGACCTCCCGTCGCAGAGGAGGTCTTTACCGCAGGGCCCGGGGGCTGGGTGGCTACTGAGGGCTGTGCTCCAAGTGTCATCTCCCCGGTCAGGCGGCCAATGCAGAAGCGCTGAGCGTGGACAGCCAGTAGGGCCCACGAGCGAAAAACCATGTCACAGGACCCACAGGGCAGGAGCCCTGGCTCTCCAGAAGAGGTGGCCATAGGATGGGACCCGTTTCCCTCCACCAGTTTAGTCTGCAGGAGACAGGACTGTGGGCAGGGGAAAGGCAGAGGAAAGGGTTTAAGTCTGCGAGATCTTCCCCCTTTGTTTGGGGGAGGAGCCTTAGCTGGCTGGGTAGCAACTACAGGCCCGGGCAGGTCAGAATGGGTGGGGAAGACTTGTCCACCTGTGGGAGGGGCCCTTTGCCTGTCCCCATTTCATTGTGTACACTTGGGCGAGTAATACTGCACCCAGCTGCTGCATCTATCTGAACAAAGAGCAACAAAAGCCACCTGCAGGACTCCCTGGGCCCTCACCTACTCCATCAATGGTCATTTAAAGGCCTCTGATAGGCAAGGGCCGCCGTTTGCACTGCTGCGCTGCACCACGTGACGCCATTCTCCAGCCAAGGGAAGGACACTCGCAGAGGCGGCGTTCCACCCGGAAAACCTTTCTCTCAGAATGAAAAGCCCTTCTCAGACACGCCTCTCCAGAAGCAAACACTTCTGCCACAACCAAGTCTCACCAGGCACAGTGGTCTCTCCCTCCCTCCCCCAGAGCCCATTCTTCTCAGCTGTAAGAGGGAGATAATCCGCACGGCCCAAGTGAAAGCTGTGGGAGAACAAAATAATAATACAGCAGATGCTGCAGTCGAGTCCGGAAAGGAACTCTTCTCTTACCAAGTCAGGCCAGGTCACAGGCAGGGTCTTTCCTACCGGTCAAAATCGCCCATCAAGTTTTAAGAAGCAGTAACTCTGAGCTTGCTCTAAAGCATCTTATTATTATTATTATTTTAAGATTTGAAAGGCAAGTGAGGCAGGGAGGGGCTTGGGGGAAAGGGGAGAGAGAAATCAATCAGGCTGTCTCGAGCTCCAAAAGGCCACAACAGCTGTGACTGACTGAGCCAGGCGGAGGCCAGGAGTCAGGAACTCCATCTGGGTCTCCCCTGTAGGTGGGAAGCTGGACTGGATATAGATATATAGACAGGCATCAATGCAGCACTGATATGGAGTGCAGGATAGCAAACAGTGGCTTAATCCATTCTGTGCACCACAGGACTGGCTGCCAGGCCCCCCACCCCCACCCCCAGTTTTTATTTTTTAAGGATTTATTTATTTGAAAGAGTTACAGAGAGGTGGAGACAGAGAAAGGTCTTCCATCCGCTGGTTCACTCCCCAGATGGCTGCAACGGCCGGAGCTGCGCTGATCCGAAGACAGGAGCCAGGAGCTTCTTCCGGGTCCCCCATGTGGCTGCAGGGGCCCAAGGACTTGGGCCATCTTCTACTGCTTTCCCAGAGAGCTGAATCAGAAGTGCAGCAGCCAGAACTGGAACGGGCCCCCTTATGGGATGCCAGCGCTGCACAGTGGCATTACCCATTATGCCACAGGTTAGGCTGTCGTCTGCAGTGTTGGCATCCTATATGGGGGCCCGTTCCAGTTCTGGCTGCTCTACTTCCATTCCAGCTCCCTACTAGTGTGCCTAGGAAAGCAGTGGAGTGTGGCCAAAGTGCTTGGGTCCCTGCATATACGTCAGACTCTGAAGAAGCTCCTGGCTCTGGCCTGGCCCAGCTCTGACCCTTTCAGCCATTTGGGGAGTAAACCAACAGACAGAAGATCTCTCACTCTAACTCTTTCAAATAAATAAATAAATCTTAAAAAAAAAAAAAAAAAAAAAAGCCAAGGTATGACCAGCAGCAAGTTACAATGTGTCTCAAACTATGACTTAACCTCAGTCCAGTTTAATTCCCATTGAGAATGAGAAAATTACTAAATTGCAAATCCCAAATTTCAAGCTACTTCTCAATTCCGTTTAATACTTTGGCAAAAACATATTTATAGCTCATAAAACTATTTTAGCTTCAGGATTCACAACTGAAGTATCAATTTAAATTTCACGATTATTACTTTTTAAAATTATTTATTTGAAAGAGTTCTTGTTCAAGCACTTGAGTCCCTGCCACCCACAAGGGAGACATGGATGGAGTTCCTAGCTTCTGCCTAATTTAGACGGCCATTTACATCTGTTGGGGCCTTTAGGGGAGTGAACCAGCAGATGGGAGAGCTCATCTTTTGTCTCCCTGTCACTTTCAAATAAGCAAAAAAATCTTCAGAAAAAAAAAAAAAAAAAAGGATTACATCTTGGGGGGAGATGTTTGACTTACTGGTTAAGATGCTGGTTTAAAGTCTGCATCCCAAATGGGGACGCCTGGGTTCAGGGTTCAAGGCCCACATGTGCTTCCTAACTCCAACTTGTTCATGTAGATACTGGGAGTAAGCAGGAGATACTGCTAAGGTGACTGGGTTCCTGGCACCCATATCGAAGACCTGGACTGACCTGCCAGCGCCTAGCTTTGGCTCCTGTGAGCTTTGGGGGAGTGAACCCAGAGACGGCAGCTCTAATACATGAAAATTTATAGAGGAGAAAAAAAAAATGCCATCTTGTACTTAATGAAACTGCTCTGTCTCAACTGCCAATGCCAGTTGCACATGGATTACTTATACTGTACTACAAACAGCAGACAGTTATAATACATAATAGTTATAGAAGTCCCTGCTTCCCTTAGAATTTAGCAAGTGTCCTGCTGCTTCTCTCTGCTTCTATTCTCTGCTTGCTGTGGTTCAGAGTCCACACTCCAAGGTGTGGACTTTCTAACATGCCATAAAAGGCCTACTATACCTCTGCTTGCCTCTCATGAGAGCATGATCTTGCTCCTTTGTATTCCTTAGGAACTAACTACTACAGGGACAGATGGTACCAGAGCTTTTACTCGTCAATCAGATCTTGGCCTAAGGTTTCATCTTTTCTAATGTAACTGCTTATTCTTTTCCCTTACAGCGCACTGGGCACTCCTTATACCCTGGAAACCTGCACAATGCCTGGGATACAAGCCCCAGTAGTGTATTGTTGAATGAAAGAGCCTGTTTTCTTCACCAGTTGTCCAGCCAGCACTGGCTCAAGTCTTTTCTCCCCAAGTTCTTATTCAGTAGAAAACTTATTTAGGTACAGACCATCCTTGAGATATGCATACTAGTAAATAAATGGAAACAGAAAGATGAATTCAGGAAAGAAAACGTGGTTTCTGAGCTTATTACTGACAGGCTTTTCTGGTCAAAAATGTGTCTCCTAAAAGGAGAAAAGAGGTGCATCTGAATCCAGATGTCCCCTAGACACACAGCAGTTATTTCCCCTGAAAAAGAATCCACATCTAGTTTTAAAGAAAATACACTTCTTACACAAGACAATCCAAACCGATGCAAAATATTTATTCCAAGTTAGTTATTTTATGCAGTAGTTTTCCCCCTCAACAGACCTGTGATAACCACATCTTTTAAATCTGTAAATAATGTTATCAAAATAATCTTAATCTTTGAAATCTCACAAAAATTTATATTTTACAATCCACCCTGAATATCAAGGCTGCAAGAATAACACATTTCCTATATCCAAATATTTTACAGCTGTACCCAAAAAGAAAAACAAAAAACCACATATGCTTGGTTAAGGGCTAAAGTTACCCGAGCAGCCAAAAATAAAATAAAATATCCAAATTATTAGCATTAATTTAATACAATTATAACTTCAATAGTTACTTTGTCATTGACAATGATTGCTTGAGCACAGGGGTGCGTACCCCAGGGCTGGTAGTAGAAGCTGTTGCTGCAGACCAGTGTCTCCTCTGCATCTCTGCACTGCCAGCTCCCACCTGTGCATCGCCCCATGTACACTGGGTGTGTGTACACATATACTTTAAAAATCTTTCCTCCACACAAACTTCTTTCTATTAAGCAGATAACATGGAAGAACAACAACAAAAGCTAAACAAGCCAATCGCTTTCTCTTTGGGTTACAATTATTTCCCTTGTGCATGAAGAATTCAATAAAAACATAAGGAAAGGAAAAGAATGATTTCTCTTGTACACTCCCTAAACACACAAGCCGAGTTTGCTGGGTCAGAAATGACTGTAAGCATTTCTATGTCTACTTCCAGGCATCATCATCTGATGTTTCACTGCTACTGGTTTCCGTGTCTGAGTCCTCAAACTCTGCTTTACCAGTGCTTCTCCAAGGGGAGAACAGGCCGGAACTGCGGCTCTGCAAGAAGCCATTTTTCCTGATGCCATTTCTTCTCAGCTGTGGTTAGCATTGGACAGAGAAAAAGAAAAAAGAAAATCCATCAGTGACTACACTGGCTCATGGGAACTGGGAAAGGACAGGCCCCGGCTCAATCTGAAGTACAACAGGGTACAGTGGAAAGCTTTCAGGAGAGTTTCTAAGAGCTCCTACAGCAGTGATTTTCAAATCTTAACATGTAAAACAAATCATCTAAATTTCTGATTCTTCTAATTCAGTAGGTCATGAGTGGGGCTTGATATTCCTTATTGAGTTTTGAGTGGAGGGTCTCATGGCAGCCTGTACAGTACCCCTTTGTAGGACTTACAATTCTAATTTATGTTCCAAATATATACCACTTGGTGTGGTTTATACAAAACCCTGTTGTGGCGGGCGCCGCGGCTCACTAGGCTAATCCTCTGCCTTGTGGCATCGGCACACCAGGTTCTAGTCCCGGTCGGGGCGCTGGATTCTGTCCTGGTTGCCCCTCTTCCAGGCCAGCTCTCTGCTGTGGCCAGGCAGTGCAGTGGAGGATGGCCCAAGTACTTGGGCCCTGCACCCCATGGGAGACCAGGATAAGTACCTGGCTCCTGCCATCGGATCATCGCGGTGCACCAGCTGCAGTGCGCTGGCCGCGGCGGCCATTGGAGGGTGAACCAACGGCAAAGGAAGACTTTTCTCTCTGTCTCTCTCTCTCACTGTCCACTCTGCCTGTCAAAAAAAATAAATAAAAATTAAAAAATAAAAATAAAAAACCCTGTTGTAAACTCTAGGATCGGGGAATGTTTATTAAGAGAAAGAATCCGAGCATTTGTTGAATAAATTCATGGGCTGGGTTTCCCAGCTCTGACCAGAAGGCTGGCAACAGAGGTAGAAGATGAGCCTGTTTTCTTAAAGGACAAAGGCTCAGACTGTAACTTCTGGAACATGGCTTTGTAGTTCCAATGAGGGACTAGAGCTGTGAGGATGAAAGAATGAAGGAATGCACTACTCTGGTCATGACCTGTGGGTCACTTACCTGATTCTACCAGTGGAGATCCCTGACCCCGGCAGAATAAATAACCTTCTGCACTTCCATTAGGGTAACTTATGGATTCTTTTTCAAAGTCTTTCTCTCACAATAAACTAGGGGTCCCTAAAGCCAAAACCTGTCCTACTCCTCTTGCTCCTTGCAGTTAACTGGGCTCTAGGACATACCTGTTCTGTCTTCATATGGAACTCTTTGAGCTCATCTTCTGTGAGGGGAAGGCAATTCTCATCATTTTCAGGGTATTCCTGCCATCCCATTGCTTTCAGTAACCTGGTGGTCAGGACAGGCAGAAAAAATGACACTATTAACCCAGGACGATGGATGTTAGAAAAGGAACTTGATCTTCTTCCCAGTGGGACGAACATTAATTATGGCTACTCAGGTGCTTGCACTTGCAAGGGTGGGGAACTTTTCTTCCGCCAAGAGCCATCTGGATATTTATAACATCACCCAGTTATAGATTTATTGAATTTTGAACTCTGCCTGTGGGTGCCTCAGCAGGGCCATGTCGGAT